TTTTTGAAAATGTTGTATTTTGGACATGCTTTGTCAGTTGTCATTCAAACTTGGTACATAGATTATACATGTTAGGATACATGTCCATGACGATTTATTTTGCAATTGGATTAAAGATGGTCGACTGGCAGGCATCTTGTTTTTGTTTTTTTATGCGGTATCTTGGACGTGCTCTGTCAGTTTTCATTCAAATTTGGCACATACATGTACTTTATACATGTTAGGATGCATGTCCATGACAATTTGTTTCAAAATCTGGTCAAGGATGGCTGATTGACAGCCATCTGACTTTTTGGCCTACTATATTTCCACAATTTATGTACCATTTTCATTCGTATTTGGCACATACATCATACATATCAGTGTGTTTCATAATCAGATCAAAGATGGCTGAATAACGGCTGTTTTTATTTTGGCCATATTACTATGACACGAAACACGTGTTTTGATGTAAATAAACAATCTGTTGTATACGCCACTTGGAACTCAAGTTTCAAGGACACGCTCGCGACAACCCCTCCGCTTTAATATGACGAGCACAAAGAGAACTTAACGGGGACTGTGTCATTTTCAATGACTTGTCTAATGATATCTTCTTTTCTTTAATTGCAATATGTGCATTGCTAACAGCGGAGCTATCTCGGCCACCAGGCTGCTTGTTTTAACCAGCAATACTTTCATTTTGGTGACCATTTTGGCATGGGCATGTCTATAGTATACATAGTATACTGTACAACAAAACACAGTATAGTATATTTTTGGCACTTAACAGATGTGAACACAATTCTAGAAACCAGTATATAATTTTGTTATGCTCAAACCATACTTAATGATCTCATTGATTCGTATATTTATTTAATTTAGTATAATGACAGATGGCAAATTAACACCTGAATCCGTCATTTCAAAAATATAAGCTATACTTGACATATACAGCATTTACCCTTTAATGAGGTATGTAACATGGGCACGTCTGGACAGAACCACTTTGTACGAAAAACAACATTCTTGCATGACATCCACATGATGGACAGTTTGAGTACATAGAATACTGTGACCATGACTAAGCCCATAGCACCAGCTCTCATCTCCCCATGATCAACAAAGCTCATAGTTCAAGGTGTGTAATTTCCAATACCATAGAAAGGTGAAAGTTGATATTTCCTGCATTTCACACACTTTCATACCATCAAATGTATCACATAAACCAAATATACCAGTGAAGCATGCTTTTGGTATGATCTCAGAGTGAACTTTAAATTATGAGTTAGAGAAAGATTACCTTGGGCTCTTTATGAGGTTTGAAATCCCTAATTAAATATTTGTATCATTCCAGATTGTGATGATGATTACAGAATGCCTATACTGGAGAGAGTAGCTGCAGATTTTAATGTAAATTTGTTCACGCGTGGTGATGATACAGACATTAGAGTAACACAATCTATCACAAGTTATCTCAACCCAGAAAACACTAATAAAGAGGAAGGAATAACTAATATGGATATGAAAACAGAAATATATAAGTGCCAAAACCACATCACTCATGTTGACATAAAAAAAGAGAATGATAACCAACCAACTGAAGCACCAAAGACAATTGATCCACCTTCCAAATGTGACAATATTACATATGATGAAAAATGTGATCACCCTGTCAGTCAATGTATGAAAGCTGAATCACCAAATCAACCAAATAATGGAAGTATGTACTTCAAAAACAAAATGCATGCTAACATCTTTGTCAGCACTCAGGACAACCAATATGAAACGGAGGATATGTGTGAATCTGAATCTCAAGAAATTAATCATTCAGAAACAAATAACCTTCGTATTGATGAAGTAGAACCTGCAAACGAACATCCATTTAATGTGAATGAAGAGGGAGATCTTAATAGTGCTTGTGAAGAAGAGGAACCTGTCACACCTAGCAGTAATCCTGTATTGTTAGTAAATGAGGAGAGAGATCATGATGGTGTTAGTGAGGAACCCACCACACTTTCGAAGGAACATCTATTGACAGTGAATAAAAAAGGTGATGATAGTGTTTGTGAGAACAAGGAACCTGCAGTAGCTTCCATTGATCCTGCATTGACAGTGGATGAAATGGAAAATTCTGATGAACATGATATTGTTGACGAAAGTGAAAAAGAACATGAAGTTATTGAAGAAATTGCTAATAATGATGATGTGCTTGGCATAGCACATACTGCTATAGATAACTATAGTTATGATAATGATGATGATGACATTGATGATGATGAGAATGATGATGGCATTGATGAAAACTCCATTCAAGAAGGTGATTCCAACTCTGAAGGCATGCCGACCAATCAACATCCTGTTGTAATTGACAATGTAAACATGCATGATGACTCTGATAGTAAAGACGACATGTGTGGTGATAATAAGGATGACGTATTTGCCAGCTCTGGTGAGAAAACTGACAAGGACATCGCCAATGATGAATTGGAGGAGAACAGTTTGGATAATCATTCAATAGAAAAAATGGAATCAAAAGACAACAATGATGAATGCACTGGCACAAAAGTTGTAAATGAACAAAGCGGTTTTGACAGTTCTGAGATAGTTGTATTTAAAAAAGGGTGGTCAGGCCGTCATAATTTCCCCAAAGTGTATCTGCCTGTGCAGTTGGATGATTCAGGAAAACCTATCATTTATTCTGATTTCCGAGAATTTCGAATTGATGTGAACTTAACTAATAAGAAAGTGAGAGGTAAAAGAAGGAAATCATATTATAAATGTCAAGTGTGTCCATGTGCTGTAGAGTTTCAACATAGCTTGAAACGACATTACTTCAATCATCATGTCCAGGAAAAGTATAAAAGTATTGAACCGACAAAGAGACCAGTGAAGGTTGCTCATCAGAGGGAAAAGATTAGAACCAGAGGGACCAGTTTTGATGAGGAGAGGAGAAAAAGAGCCCACATATTCAAAGATAAGGCAAAAGTTGATGAAGAACGATTTCTTTCAACTGAAATGGGATTTCAAGTTGAATCTAAAGCTAGATTTCGGAAAGCATTTCATCAAGAAACAGATACGGACAGAGTATTTTCATGCAAAATATGTGGAAAACGTCTAAAGTCAAATAAACGATTATCTAATCATATGATGATGTCACATCCTCAACAGTATAAACTTAACTGCCCTAAATGTTCTCGACATTTTCTTTGTCAACAAAGTCTAGAAAGGCATCTACTTCTTCACTCTGGTGTCAAACCTTTCAGCTGCAGATACTGTGGGAAAGCATTCTCAACCAGTACAAATGCTAGAAGACATGAAAAGCTGCATTCCGGCTTTCGACCACATCGATGTGAGGAATGTAAAATCACCTTTATTCATGCAACTGAACTACAGAGACATGTCTCTAGTAATCATGGTGAATTCAAAGCACTACAATCCAAATTTAGGATTCCTGTTAAGACTTTAGAAGATGATGTAATAGAGCTCCCAGTTCATGCCCCTGGTGAAGAGCATGAATGCCCACTTTGTGGGAAAATATTTTACAAAGCCAGTAGTTTGAAACGTCATGCAAGTCATGCCCATAAACATGTTCAAACAAGGATGGCAGAAAGAAAAGTGGAGAATCAAGCACCTGACGGTTACATAGAGGCAACTGATTTGTCAGACACTGTTCCAGATAAGATTAGTCAGTATTTAGATGGAAAAATCATCCCTCCTGAAGATGAAATAGGCCATGTACCAACTGGTGTATCGCAAATTCGCATTTCAAATGTACATCATATTTCATCATTTGATGATTATGCTAGTGATGAAGATTCTACAGCAGTAGGTAATGCTGAAGATTGCGAAAGCGATGACAGTAACACTTCTTTTACCCATGGAACAGAAGATTGCAATTTGTCAGGCAAATCACCTGGTGGTCAAAACGAGCCACATCATATTGATAACTTGATGAAAAATAAATCCATCAAAACTAATAGAATTTCACATTTGCCAGAAGAAAGATTCACAGGTCAGAGCAGCAACCACACTGACCATACACAAACTGTAGAATCAATAAAAAAACAAAATGAAATTGATATTAGAAAACCACCCAGCGCCTTAACGCGCCCTCCATTTAGAGGAAGTTCAGGACCAAAAGATTTCAACCCTGCTTTATTGAAAAGAAACAAAACATCCGAAGGTGTTTCTTCATCTAGTCAGGTAATGGTCACTAAGGAAACCAAGGAATGTGCAGAGCAGGGTTATTCAATGGTGTCTAATGCAAAGTCAGTGCCATCAATAACCCAATCTTCAAGACATGCAGGTCAAAGCTTGCAGCAATTTAGATCACACCCACAAAACACGGCAATTGATACAAAGGTTGTGTCATCGAAAATGCAAGCATCTATTCAGAGAGTCAGAAGTATAGCTGCATTGAAACAATTGCAATATGCACGGGCAAAGGCTGCTGCGGCACAGCGCACAGTGACTCCCAAAATGCCAACCGGTGCAACTTCACAAGCTTCAAGTACTGCAAGGCCTATACTGCAACCTAGACCTATACAAGCAGCCCCTGCTGTACCATCAACTGGGAATGTACAGTTTTCAAGCAGTACCAACAGATCCACACAACAGTCTACAAAGTTTTAACTCAAGTGCAACAAACTATTGGAACATTACCACAACAAGGAGCATTTGTGCTTGCTCAACCAACAAGTTATGTACAGATAGCTCCAGCAAATGTTAGACCCCAAATACAATCTACTGTTGTCAGTGTACAACAACCAGTTACAGGTAGTTCTACGCAGTTTGTGATGGTCCAAAATGTTCAAGGCAGTCCAGCACAACAGTTTGTACATATACCAGTAGTGAGTACTTCAACTGGGCAACAGTGTGTAGTCAGCACACAATCATCAACTAGCACATCAACTGCACCCTTTCTTGTTTCTGGAAATGTCCAGCAAATAACAACTGGAAACATTAAACAACCACCACCTCAACAGTCTTCTTTCATGCCAAGTCAGACTAAGGGCACAGTGAGAGAGAGATTACGCGTTGGAACAGCAGCTGCCAGACCACCTGGTGCCAAATTGGCTGCAGCAATTCAAAACATTCGTGCACATAACCCAAAGCTTTCACAGTCAGAAGCAGATAAAAGATCACATATGCACTTGCAACATGATGCTTCAGTTATTCAAAACAAACCAACTCCTATCACTGGTAATTTGGTTATATCTGTACCAAGACATACAGCAAAAAGAGTAGCGTCCGAGACAGAAAGTGTTGTTGATTTAACAGTTAAACATCGAAAGTTAGAAAATACTGAATTAATCAAACCGCCTTCCAACGAGCAAACACAAGAAAACTTGGAAGTTGCATTAGATCTAACAAAATCGGGTTCTGATCAGCATGGGTTTTTACATTCGGAAGGGCTTCATGCACGAGCTGAAGTTGCACCTATTTTGACTTCCGTACAAGAGCCGACAGTTAAAATCTGCCGACCTGTGCTGCCTGCAAATAATGTGCAAGACTTGACATCTCCCAAGATGAAAGCTCAAGTAACTAGCACTGTGGTCCCTAGTAATATTCACGGTAAACGACTAACTGCATGCAATGTATGCGGAATTGTTTTCAAGTCTGTTAGGGCTCTTAAAGAACATGTTACAACTCATGAAAGTGATTGGAAATACAAATGTGAATACTGTTTTCAACTTTTTCAAAGTCATAATGCTCTTGCTGCACATAGATATAAACAACACAGAACACAGACAACTTATGCATGTTCTGTATGTCAAAGACAGTTTTTAAATCTTTCTAAGCTGGAACAGCACCAAGTGGTGTCACACCCTAATGTAATGTGCGACTATGTACAGATGGGACAGTCTCATAACAAAACACAGCATCAAACCTCTCAAAGTCTGACAGCTTCTACTGATATAATCATACCAAAGGCCAGGGTGTCTACAACAATAGTAAAGAAAAGTAGCTCTCCGCCATCGAATACTGTCTCAGGTTCTCCTGGTACATCTACTAATACTTGTACCAAGTGTGGTATGATTTTTGATGACATGACAGCTTTTCATAAACACATCTTTCAATGTGCTGTGAAGTCTGGTTCTGGTAATCGACCAAAATGGAGAGGAAAGTGGGGACAGAAGCTAAAAACCCAAGATTTACTCAAAAGAAGGGGAGCCAGTCACACTGTTGCAGAGAAATTGAGAAACAAGGCATTGAAACATAACTTTTCTAAAACTGTTCAGAAGTCTTCTAATTCCTTGGATACAGATGTGGACCAGCCCGTATGCCAAGATTGTGGAAGAGACTTTATTGACTTGGTGCACCTGCAAAAGCATCTCAAAATGTGCCCTAACAGAGATCAGTTAAAGATTGCAAACTGTCAAGTGGAGCTTGAAAAAATGATGGTGGGCTACAGTGATGATTGTCGACAGCTGATACAACAACACAGATGTCCACATTGCCAGAGACAGTTCACCTATATTCGCAGTTTGAAAAAACACATTGAAGTGTGTGACTACAGAAGAGTTACTCGCAGAAAAGAACAACAGGTTGTACTTACACAGCCTATACAAAAGCAAGAACCAAGTGAACAGCTTGCGAAGCATGCAATTAATAATGAACAGAAGTTTATATTATGGGATAACCCAAAACAGAAAAAGAGAGGTGGAAAACGCAAGAGACGAGGTGCTTCGAGCAGTCAGAAAAATACAGAAACCTCAATAACTACAGAAAATGTAACCCAACCACTGAGTGATACTGATGAATATGATACTATACGGGTGGAAAAACTATCCAGTGGCACTAAGGTTCATATTATCAATGAAAAAACTATGAAACTAATTCTTGAAAAGAAGGAAGAAAAAATGTTGGCCAAAGCCATGGCAAAACACACTAGCAAAGAGAGCTCTGTTAGTTGCAATGTGTTAGATCAGGAAGCTATCAATACACCCTGTGACCTGAGCCAACCTCTTGTAATAGATGAAAGTAAGCTGGGATCGTCAGATTGTCTAGAAAGTGGCATACCTTCGACACAAACGTCAGATGAATATGAGAAAGAGAGTGAACTACATCTGGACAGTCAGTCAGATTTATTGAAGTCGAATAATGATGTTCCATGTAGTGACATTACAATATAACATTCAAGGGTTGTATGATTGTAATATATTTGTGAGATTTAGGATTATGGATCTTGGGATAATTTTTTAGATACCATAATAGTTAATTAGCTAAGCATACATGTGAAATTATCCTGCCATTGTATTTGAATCCATCCCTGTCGATAATTTGTGATGTCTTTTTTTTAATTATCCCTTTTAAGATGTTTTATATTTTTGCTAGATTAAAATTCATTTAAAGTAGCAATAGTTTTAGCTGAAAATGAGTCTTCCTCATTTTTTATTTCTGCTTTTAGTTTAAAAATACCAATTTACACTAATTTTTAAAGCTTGGTTGCATAGTGTGTTGCATGTAGATCTATTTTAATGCAATCTTGGACTTTCGCTGGCCGTTTTTTTTTTTTAAACATCTGTGTTTTAAACATGTTTATATTGTTTCTGATTAGCAGTCGATAATACAATCATTTATTGTCAATCAGATTCGAGGTGGCTGACCAGTGATGAAGTTGGTGGTAAAATTAAATAAATTCTTTCTCATTAAACATCGAAACTATTAGATAATATTTATCTTTTAATAATGGGGCAATGTTGATAACGTTTTTTTTACGATATTTAATTTTTATAACATTGGGTATGATGTATCACAAAATAGAACTCTGAATGCATCCTGAATTCACATACAGGCACAGATAACTCAAAACTGGACTTTTCATTCGGTATTTCATTGAACGAATACTACATTTGCAGCTAAAACGAAGAGTTTTATTTTATGACATACATCGTAGTATTTGTTATCAAGATACCACATCAGATATTTTCCTATGTTGAATCTTACCCTAATGTGTTTCGTGCAAAACAATATCAAACAAAACACATTGCCTCAGTAGTATTGTATAATTGTAATATAATAACTTTAGAACTCTTTCATCATATTTAAAGCTTGTAATATATAATAATATATATATATATATCGCTATTTTCTTCACTAGTGTTGTTTTAACAGTTTAGTGTAAATTTTATTACGATTTTCAGGCTTCTAGAAACTACTAATTTCTGGCTACTAGTATTTGAGGCAACACAATTCTCCAAATAACTAAAACTAGACTGTTTTTGTTTGTTTTTCAGTAGCCCGTAAGGAGCTTGTTAAAATCAATTCATAACATCATGTACATGTTAAATACATATTACAATCCATGTTTCACATTGTATAGAAATGCGTGACGAACACAAATATCTTAATCTTTTGCGATTAAACAATTTAGCATGTGCCTACAACGTGGTGAAGCCATGCATCTTTTCTTCTTCTTTTTTTAAAGAGTAAATTGATTAACTATCGGTGCTTTATATTATTGCTTTGTAATAACACTAATAGATCTGAAATGTAATATCTTTGTAGGATATTTTAAATTAGATTATTAATATAAACCTAGTATTTAACTGTATATTCTCAAATTGTAACTTATTACTAATATAATATTTCAGTGTGTATTTCACCGAATTGAGACAACAATCCATTAACCTTATCTCGTTTCATATTGTATTTTAGTCATTGCATTTATCCTGGTACGTTTAGTTAGCCATTGTGTGATAACATATTTTGCTATCCTATTATTGCTCTGTCTTATTTAATTACATCTCAACTTTGGTATGCACATGTTGTATTGCCTTCAATAAATTACTTGAAACATTATTTGAAGTGTGTTTATTCATTGGGTATTCTGTGATGGTAGTTGTGTTCTTGTACATATACTGGTACATTTATATAATGCTTGTTTGACACTTTGAAATGAAAAGCCTTTAATACCCCCATGTGTATAGTAAGCCATTTCCAAATATGTATGTAAACCATTGCGATGTAAATCTGGAGTGTTTTCTGTCCAACAAATATTTAGGAAATTTAAAATAACCTCTGATAAGCAGCCATAACATTTAAAGTAATCGAATATAGTGACCGGCAGAACAGCAATGAATCAATTGGTAGCAATGTATCACATGACCAGTATTGGTCATGCTTAACCAAATAAGCAATGTTTATGTTGTATAGTATGTATTTACAGCTAAGGAATATGTTGGTGTGGTTGAATCATTACGTAGGAAAAGATTGTAGCACATATACTTTTGAAACAAACGTGCCAATGCGAAAATTAGAAAACTGCACAATTATTGACAGCATTAGGAACATTGACCCAACTGTCAACTTTAGATATCATATTTTGTTAGTTTTTAAACCTAGTTGCTTATAACTAAATGCTAAATCTAACGACAAATCTAAGGTACGTGTTTTGGATATATTATTAAATAAAACGGTTCGAAAACAAGCATATCACCCATGAAAAATATATGAATCCCCATGTGAAAAGTCGTCTAAACAAGCTAAATGCTAAAAAA